CCCTTTTTCTGTTTTTTTCGTAGTCGAGAAATCGAGTTTGCGTTAGCTCATCGCAGTCTCAGGGTGCAACGATTAAGCCAAAATGCCATCGATTCCCTCGGTTCCATGATTTAGATAGTATAGTAATAAGCTCATATATATGTACGTAACAGCCGACTCATGCCATGCTTGTGGTACATTTTTTGCTTATTAGCCCGTACGCACGCGCACAATTCCGAACTGCAATGGTGCGGGCTTTTCACAGAGTGATCAAACTATATTTTACACAGTTTCGTTGAATTTTCAAAGAATTGCGCCGGTTTCCTATGTATTTTACGTTGTGTCGTACGCTGGACTTTCTTGCGTGTTGAATTAATGTGTTTTTCTTTGTGTAATGACTCGAAAACCACAAAATATAATATTTAGTACTCCACGAAATATAATCCGCGCAAAAAGCTTTGTGGTAGCTATACTAAAGATAAAGCGTGCGTTCAAAATACCAACAAGAACTAGAACCATTATTGTATCATTTGTATGGTTCTCATTTGCTAGTCTTGCCACAAGTCGACCTCGAAGAAACGCATTTCGTTCGAGGTCGACTTGTGGCAAGTCTACTCATTTACAATAACATTAGTTCGACGCGAATTTTAATACAAGTATGGTATCCCCTTTGGACATAACTTTTTCGTGATAATATTATTGGAACCAGAATCGAAAACACTATTTATAGTGTTATTTTCAAGCTTGTGTCTTGAGATTTTCATCTTTTATTTCGGTATTTACAGAATATTTATATTTTTAGCGCGGCCCATGGAACGCACATGAAAACAACGCGCTGTTAGGAAAAACCGGAAATCGATTCTGTAGGTCGGCATGATTTGCACGTGCATCGATCTCCATTACGTCTCCCGAAAAGGACTTTTATTCTTTAAAAAGTCCATAAAATTTGCTTGCGGTTTAAGATTTGTATTCCTGCCTTTTGCACCATAGCACGTATCTCGTTATTTTCAGGCCAGTGTGAACGCCTGAGCAGGCGTCTTGTTTAATATAATATACTGTAGAACAAATATAATATAATATACTGTAGAAAATATTTTTTTTTTAGTATTTTCGGATTTACCGTTGATTTATATTTGATCTACTATAATTAGTTCAAGCGAGTCACATTAGAATATGTTATTAAAATTGGGGACAACGGCGAGAGTTTGTATATCAGATAAACATCGGCTGCTCGTGTTTTAACGTGCTTAAAAGACGACCCATCATATGAGTTCATTGGCGAAGTAATTTTAAAAATAAACACCGTCTAAGCCGAGAAAATCGAAGCTGAAGTTTACAAATCTATTATCCGACGATTTACATACATTGATTAAACATTCATTTCTTTTGAATTTCCTTCATGGAGGGCCCTGAAGGGGTAAAATGGGAACTGGGATTGATCTAATTTTAGACTGGGAAAATGGGATTTGGGTTACTGGGACTGGGATTTGGCCACTGGGAATGGGAAATGAAGTCCTCAAAAATGGGAATGGGATTGAGGTAATGCGAGTCGATTCCCAATTTTTCTACGTTTTAAGTATTTTAAAATACAATTTTGATCCGTTTTTCGGTGTCTTTGGTCATGATTTTTGTTGTTAACTATATTATTCACAGCACTACCTGCGAACAGGCATACTCTGGCGCCCGGAATTCTGGGTTTTCTGATTATGCGTGTCTCAGAATGCTGCAAATGCCATTTCTGGGATTCAAATTTTAAAATTTTCTGTGCCTTCGGCACAAGCCCCCCGATGTTTCATAAAGTGTCCGCCACTTGCACACACAGTGGTTTAAAAAGTTTTAAAACTGTTTATTCTACCAATAAATAAAGGGTTTTTTATTGACTGGGATTTCAATAACTCGGACTGGGATTTCTAATAAAAATCCAACTGGGACTGGGATTTTGCCAAAATTTCAGGTGGGAAATGGGATTGGGACCCCCCCTTCAGGACCCTCTTCATGGATTATTAATACTGTATTTTGTGTCCAGCATTCGCAAATGTTTTTGTTTTTCTGCTGTCGAAAATTCACTGCTGGCAAGCAACGATGCAAATCAATTCAAGTTTTGATATATTTCAGATTCGATATACGCATTGTCATTGGCCAATACCCCATCACGTGTTCGGCCGTTTCACTCCCCTCTTTATTTTTTATTATTTCTCCGCCTTATTTTAAATTTCGGATCTTTCTCGGTCGCCCTTCGGAGTATCATCGTGTAACATAAATTAATGTCAAAGATGAACATAAATTATTGCGCCTGCGATAAGCTAATACCGCTTTCAACATTCAAAATGGCGCCCGATGAAAATTGAAAACATTTACATGTAATTAAAAGGTTAGTATAAATTTACACAAATATTTCTGGCGTGCTCCCTTGTTCTGACTGGCTCATTTCGGCACTTCAGCCCTCAATCAACTCTAACTACACTCCACATTATAAAAAACATTTGTTCACATTCATATTTATATTGTAATAACATTCACTATTACTGTATTATTCAATCTTATTTTTATCTTATATAATAAACTGTAAAATTCAATCACTCCATATCTTGTAGAAAAAATGACCATATTCTCTGCTGATTTTATAAACTTCAGGGGCCGGTTGTATAAAAACGTAATTAGCGCTAACTGTAGTTAGCGTTAATCACTGTAGTTAAATCCTTAACTGTAATTAGTTAACTACACGACTTAACTGCGTTGCATAAAACGTAGTTAGTCGGATAGTTAACTAATCACGTAGTTAACTGTGCGTGGGGCTTGCGTGGGGCGTTTAAAACACAAAATTACATAAAGTAAGCAGCGAATAACGACCGCTGACACACATTTTCAACATGATTGTGGACTCATATTTTGCATATAGGCGGGAATTTTATTCAAAACACTAGAAAACAGTGAAAATAAACAAGAAAACAAGGAAAAACCGCCACAAAAATCATAAAAGAAGGCAGTTTTTCCTTGAGATGTCTACGTTAAACCAAGGTATAGCTGTTTGGCAATTATATATCAGTGTTTCTTGGTGTAATGGATTATACTTCGTCTTCGAGAAATCGTCCTGTGCAAAAATATGTTCTGTTTTCGTAAAAACACTAAAGCGATAGCGTTTGAAGAGTTTATATTGTCAGGAAACATTCACAGGGAAGATAGCGATTGAAAATCTCAGGTAAGCGTTGCTTTTCATTATTGTTTTACGGAAAAATGTTGTTCACTCCTATACAAACGCCATTTTTAACTACGTTTTGGACAGTTAACTATACCCTAAAGCATAGTTAACTTTAACTACTTTTTAACTGCAGTTAAGGCTAACTACGTTTTTATACAACTGGCCCCAGTCCTATGGCTCTGCACTATACCTGCCTCCTCCGCAGGCCCTCGTTGCGTCATGGGAAGGTCACGATCTGGCGAGGGCCTGCGGAATCTTGTAAAAAAATGGCGCCGGCGTCACGTCAGCAAGTAAATTTCTACATAATCTTGAATATAAACAGATATAAAAAAGCGGTGTGAAACTTATAAATTAAACTGGCGACTCTTAGGACGTGGAAGGAAGCATTTTTTAACGATAAGGTTTGTTGTCCACACCAACGTTGCACGAATAAAACTGCCTTCTTTAACGAAGCAGGTTCAAAACATGATTTATTCATTTTACAAGATTCCGCAGGCCCTCTCGAAATCGTGACCTTCCCATGACACAACGAGGGCCTGCGGAGGAGGCAGGCACTATACAGCAAAAGTTTTCTTTGTATTTTGGTAGTTGTTCATGCAACATTTATTATAACAAAAAGTCAACATATTTATGGCCGATGCTCGTCGTATTCCCAAATCAGTGATGTTAACTAAACAAATCTGTGCTCATGTTAATTCAAAGCTGAAGTGCCATCTGAAGAGAAAATAAGCCAGCCAGAATATGAAGTTTGTGATGACCATTTTCTTCTTAGAAGCCGATTTTTTACAATTTTCAGAGGATTTGCAGTATGGTATGTCTTAATATGTATGAATGTATAACTGTTGACTTTTAATAAAACACAAAAAATAGTTTAAAAATCCGTAAAACAGGGACATAAAATCGAAAATAAAATAGTGAGACAATCTCTCGTCTTAGTATCCGTAGCCATTACTGCTTTGTTTTTCAGTCACTTTTGTAATGTAGCACGTCATGTCACGTGATGTAATATATATTTAGGTATCAGAAAGAGACCACGTGTAAGAAAATAGGGTTTTGATATTGAAGGCAATAAAAGTACATTTTTATACTGTACAACTTGTACTAAAGAGATACATTATATTTGGCGACGAGTTTATTTTAATGCTGAACCCAAACGAAGAAGAAGTGAACACAGAAGAAATCTCGATGGCCACAACTTTGGATTTAAAACCACCACCTCCGTTTGATGCAGAGGGTGATAATTCCTCGCTAGCCCAACGCTGGAAAGAATGGCGAGAACGTTTTAATATGTATACAGTAGCTGCCAACATCAAGGATGATGCACAGAAACGCGCAGTGTTATTGTATGTAGCTGGCCCGTCGGTTCATAAAATATTCAAAACACTACAAGACACCGGGACAGATTTCAAAACAGCTCTAGAGAAGCTCGACGAATATTTTCAGCCACAAAAGAACGTAATATATGAACGCTATGTGTTTAAACAGACACATCCAACGCCTGGAGAATCGGTAGATAGCTACATAACTCGTCTACGTACACTAGCCGAAACGTGTGAATTCGAAAGCGCCGAGAATGAAATACGCGATCAGTTTGTTATGACATGCTCGTCTCATGGATTTCGTACGAAGCTTTTACGCGAGACAGATCTGACATTGGCTAAGCTTATTACCATGGCGCGAGCGAAGGAATTAGCAGAAAAACAAGCGTCGAATATCTCGGGACACAATAATGTATGTATGTATGTAAACTTTATTTAAAGACGTTAGCCTCGTCAACGATTTGTTGATTTTCACGAGGGACGTCTGTTACTATTAAAAATTACAAATATGATATAGAAAAGAATAAAGAATTGTATACAACTATTTACAATACAAGAATTAAGTTCCAAACGGTGGGACCCATATTTCTAAAGCATGCATATACAGTATATTAGAAGATGTTAGCGTGAATCTTTCAGGCAGTTTTTAAAAGAATAAATTGATTGCGCTAGCTTCGCATCAGAAGGAAGACTATTCCACAATTTAGCTCCGCTATACTTAAAGCTTTTTTTTAGAAATTCTCGTTTTGGCTTAGCAAGAGTAAGGTCAGTATAAGTATTGCGAAGATTATAACTGGTTTGAACAAGGTCCCTTCTCGTTAGAGCATCCTTCAAGTTCGGCCCAGCGCAATCATTCAGGACTTTATACATTAATGTGGATTTAGTTGTACGTTGTCTTATCTCTAAATTTTCCCAAGCAAGGGATTGAAGAACATCAGCAGACCTTATTTCATAGCTGGCGCCAGTTATAATTCTCGCTGCACGGTTTTGGAACTTTTGAAGCTTATCTTTCAGCTGTTGGTTACAGACGTCCCATAATGGACTACAATAATCAAAATACGGTTCTATCAAAGCTCTGTAAATGGTATGCAGGGTATTTATAGGAACATATGGCTTAATTCGTTGCATTGCTCCTATGCCGGCCCCAACTTTCTTACAAATCATTTCAACATGCTCATGCCAATTAAGGTTTTCATCAAGTTTAACCCCAAGGCATGTGTATGAATGAGCAAGAGTTATGAATTGGTTATTCATCATTACTGGAATATCATAAGTCATAGTATCAGTATTATACTTTGAACCGATATACATTAATTTGGTCTTAGTTGGGTGGTGTTGCAGTTTATTTCGAGTAAGCCACTCACCGACTTTTTTCAGGTCATTATTTAGATTTTCAGTAAGTTCCTCAATAGTTTTGGCAGAAGTAGAAATTTGAGTATCATCAGCGTATAGGTGTGGCGAAGTTTTTTCGAGGCATTCGGGTAAATCATTAATATATAATAGAAACAGCAAGGGACCAAGAATTGATCCCTGCGGAACTCCGCACACAATCGTTTTAGGTGATGACATTGCACCGCTGACAATGCATGCTTGCTCTCTATTAGTTAGATAGGACTTAAACCAATCCAGTTCCACATTTTTTATTCCAAATTGATCATTCATCTTTTGCAATAAGATTGTATGATCAATAGAATCAAAAGCTTTTCTAATGTCAAGGAAAACAACACCACTCAACTGACCATTATCCATGTTCTCATAAAGTGTGTCACACATTTGAATGAGTGTTGTTAAAGTTGAATGCTTAGGCCGAAAGCCAGATTGATGTTTAGATAGCAGCGAATTATCATTCAAAAACTTATAAATCTGGTTGAAAACCGATCTCTCTAGTATTTTACTGACAATAGGCAATATAGATATCGGTCGGTAATTTTCACATCTTTGTCTATCATCAGATTTAAAAATTGGCATTACCCACGCCTTTTTCCATTCATCAACATATATCCCAGTTTTGATTGAAAGATTGTAAATCCATGTTAATGAAGGACCAATAACTTCCGCGGACAATTTAAGAGCTATAGCAGGGATGTTATCAATACCGGTAGACTTTGA